CATCATGCCTGGAGACTAGCACCAAACATCTAACGCAGGACGTAATGGCCATACGCTAGTAGGGACGCGCTTGGCTTATCGAAAACTTGATATACCTGAAACGAAATTGATGTCAGGATTTTAATAATAACGATCACGGGTAGATTTGCAGAACGCATATCTGATATATAATCAATCGATGTCGCGTATATCGCGTCTCATTATTATTCATAGAGGATCAAAAAAAGCAAAAAGAAAAAGAAATTCATCCATAACTTAAATAAAATCTGTTTTTTTTCTATTTTTCCCAAAAAACTGGCTGTCAAATAGAAATTACAACTCTCAAGATGTTCGAGTTGATTGTTATTGAGTACCTTCAACAAACGGCATATAAGGATTGGTCAATTGTTTCTTTACTACAATATGTCGAAGCAAAATCTGAATTATCTGCTGATATGATCGAAACCCTAAAATCAGAAATATATTCAGTCCTACGAAGTTTCAGTGATCCTAACAGCATCAATCTTCATGAGAATGCAAAAAAAAGAGCGTGGAAACTTTTATCAGAATTTGATAAAGCATTCTCCTCAACTGTCGTGAAAATTTTTATTGAAGGGTTAAAATTACAAGATGAAAGAAAGGAATCCCTTACAGCATTTTCTCGCAAAATAACATCGATAGATGCATTAAGATCATTAGAGGTGAGTTTTAAATCAAATATAGGAATGGTTACATTGCAATGATCTTATGAGAATTCTATTAGGAACAACGTATGGCAAAGGTATTAATTGAAATTATGCGCAAAGAAGAAGTGAGAGGATCTACCTCTACTATAGATGATCATATGAAGCGGAAGCCTGGTGAGTCTCATTCTCCGGATAATGATGAAACGTTGACGAAAAGAGTGAGAGTAGGAATCGAAAGTCAAAATACAACTATTCATGGTAAGAATTTTATTGTCAATAATATGATACAGACATACATGTACTTAAAATTATATCTTCCATCAGATAATGATGAAATATCACCGCTATTTAATATTAAAACATTAACTTCGCCAAAGTCTTCTCCTGTCGAATCCGAAGAAATTAAAAATGGAGACACAGAGGATCTTATTGGATTCTTAAAAAAACGAGACTTACATTTGAATGAAAAACATTTCAATATATTACGCGATCAGGAAATCACTGGCTGTGATTTTGTCAAAATGAACAAAGTTGATTTCAAGGAATGCGGTTTTGAAACAGGGCCATCAATGAGACTCGCGGATGTTGCTGAAGAGCTTAACAACCAAAGTAAGTATTATTGTAGTTAGAGTACTATGTTGTCATGACATAAAAATATTGTCCTTATTTTTACTTTCACAACTTATGAAGCCATTCTCTCAGTAGCTAATATCAAACCTGACCGGGAAGGACTCCTTAATGAACTCCGTGAAGAACTCCTTAACGAACTTCGTAAGGAACTCCATGAAGAATTTCGTAATCTTGGTGGTATTCTCTGTAAAAATCCTAGAAGTGATTAAAAGAAGATAGACAACAAAGAATATCCATGTAATAAAATTCCCTGACGGGTAGGGCGGTCTGTAGATTGACAAATAATAATAACCGAAATTGGTATTTGTGGGCTGTTTGCTTTTATTTGCGATATATTTTTTCAGCTTCGTTCAAACATGTATTGTGCGACTCTTTTTTATTGTATGAATATTTCGTTTGCTTATTAACGTTAAAATAAAGTTTATTGCTCTAATGTCATCTTAACTTTGTTTTACACTGATCATCCCTAAGGGAATGGTTTTCTGTCCCAATCCCGAAATTATATGATCTATCGTTTCAGGATGCTGGGTGAAATAGTAACTGAGAGAACGTACTTTCCTTGAGATAATTCGTTTACTGTGCCACATTCTACTGCGCCCTTGTGACATGTGTCCCGTCTCGGCAATCCTTCTTTCTCATATTTATTCGAAAAAAGATTTTAAAAGTTACAGGATAGAAAAAAAATGTTATAGTATTCTTCAAACATTACATTATAATGTGCAGATTTTATTTTCTTTGTGATGAATATTAATTGGAATTGTTAAGTAAATTGAAAAAGTTTTACTATAAATAAATGTGTTTACTATGAATAAAATAAATAATATTACTTATTAGTAAAAGTTCATCCATAAATACCAAATTTTTCAAAATCATTTTTAAAAATATATTAAGGTATAAATCAATGGCAAGGTGATTGAAAATATTTATACAGAAAGGTATAAGAGTTTTGTTAATAAATGAACCTATATCTAACCAATAATAATTTGGTAAAAAAAACTTACATTATAACTAACATCAAGTGAAATTTTTCAGGATTTTTGATATCATTTATAATGTCTGAATATGATTCATATAAAATTGTAAATGTTTCTTCTAGTTGATCTTTATAATAATAACAAATCTTGATTTATTTTATCTTGAATTTTTATTAAATTTGAATTAGCTAGTTATGAAAATATAAAACTAATCAAGCTTTTAATTTTACTTTAAGTATTCTTTTAAAGTTATTTTTTTCTTTTTATGTTAATTAATCCTTTAATATATTTTTAATATTTTAGATTCATATTTTTGTTATTGTTGATTTTTAATTTCCTATTTTTCTTTCTTATATTCAATAAAGCTTAAATAATTTCTTTAGAAAAATAAAACTTTATCTATAATAGCATGATTATATGCCTTCTATAAATGTGAAATTATCAAATTAAATTCTTCTTGAACTTTTATATTATGTTATATACATATTTTTTTAAAAGAGATACTATGTTATTATCAAACTGAATCATCTTAAAATTTTGAAAAATATTTAAAAATGACTGATATATAAGGTTGCTAGATGAAACCTAGAGGTTTTGTAAGTCATCTAAATAGAAAAAGATAAAATTTAGTGAAATTATATTAAACTTTATTAAAAATCTATGAAATTCTAAAAAAGGTAAAACTATATCAAAGCTTATAAAAATGCGAAACTATATCAAAATCTTAATAAAAATTTAGTGAAACTATAGTTTAAACATTTTGCTAAATCTAAAATGAGTTTAGATAAGCAATCTTACTGATATGTAATCACTAGTATTTTACAAAAAAATAATAAAAATTAGTTATTCAATTACAATCATATTATTTTAAATATTTTTTACTATTTAAAATTGTTTCTAAATAAACTTAGTTCTATATATAAGCATTTATAATAAAAAGGAAGAAAACTATCAAAAAAATTTTTTAAGTTAATATTAAATATAATTTTATTATCTGAAACTTTATTAAAAGACATATATAGAGCTCCGAATCAGATCAGGTCGACCTGTTTACCTAATCTGAACTGACCTAAAAATTCAGGTCAGGTCAATAGATTTTCAGGTTGATGTCAGGTCGGGTCAACAGGTCAAACTAACCTGACCCGACCTGATAAAAATTCAGGTCAACCAATCATTCTTCTTGAATAATTTATTATCATTAAATTAGAAATAACAAAGTTGATTAAATAAATTAATAATTGTTTATTAGATTATTATTTATATTAAATATTTTTTTTTTTTTTTTTTAAAGTGCGGTAGTTCCACATAATCTTTATTATGATAAGAGTATGATATAAAGTAAAATACAAATCAAGAAGAAAAAGTGAAAATCTCGTACAGAAAAGAAAAACTAGACTATAGAAGACCGATTCTGCACTCCTCTAGATCAATTCTAACCTAAGCTAAAACTATCACTTCTGAGTATTTAAATGAGAAAAAAAAATAAGACAGGAGAGGGCTTGGTTACTACTGCACCAAAAATTCGTCCAGTGGGATCCAAGTTGCACTATGGTATTTATTGGATCAACGTAATTGTTGTTGGTAGAAATACCAAGGGAAAGATCAAAATCTGAGGAAGTGTAATTATCCTTTTTATCTTTAAGGTTTATGTTGGCAGCTTTCTCGATGGCGGATTGACGAGTATACCTTTCAATCCAAAAACGTTGTGATTCTTCATAAATGAAGTGCATGAGGGATGAATACGCAGCTAAAGCTGTAGGCATATGTGAAAGATAGTTGTAAATAAATTTAAAGAGAGTAGTGGGAACAATGCCTTTAATGAGAACCACAAAGGAAAAGGATGTTGAGAGGTTCTACCAATTAAGATTATCAATATCATTCGAATGTGCATTGGTAATGACTCTAAGGTAGTCTTTAACTCGTTGAATGAGCAATTTCATTTGATAGTCAACCATCAGATAGGTCCATATATGGAAGAAGTCCTCGTCCGCAGCCTCAGATCAAGGACACAGGGCTGAGGGTGGGAAAAGAGACGGATGTCTAATTTTCAGAATTTCAACTGTAGGAAGCATTTCCAGCAACCGTTAGAATTTTTTCATTCTTGTAGTAGAGGTTATATATGATGTGTGATTGGTAGCGACATTGTCGTTGAGGCAGAAGGAGGTAACGAACCAATTGATTTTGAAGAATGGGTGATATTTGTTGATTATATGCAAGGATAAAATTTGCTGAAGATACTTGTGCCGGAAAATGTCCTTTACAAATTGTCTAACTGGGAGAAGAATAGGTTGGTTGTTGTAATTAAAAAAGCTTCGTGAAGTAGCTGTCGTATTAAGTTGTAGAACGGGGAGGGTAAAAGCGTCTTTTGCCATAGTATCTACCTTGTTGTTCAAAAGATTGTTTGAATGCGCTTTGACTTTTATTAATTGGATGTTCAGGTTGTGCACAAAGATCACTTCGAAAAGACAAGACCAAAGCACAAAATTGTTGATTTTCAAAAAAGGTCTGAAAGTGGGAGACTGCTTCTTAAGGAAACTAAATTTATTGAACTGTGATATGATAATAGCTGAGTCAGTATAGACTCTGACTTTGTAATTTAGAGGAGCAGTCAGGAGTGCTGTAAAAAGAGCTGCAAATTCAGGTATTGACGATGATGGAAAGCTGGAGGCCAAAGTAATGCTGAAGGAAGCCATAGGCGAATTTTGGTAGGATTGTAACCAAGCAATCCCCATTTTGATTGAAGGAAGACTGACGTCTGTAAGAGACCCGTCAGTGTAAAATTCTAACTCAGTAGCAGAAATAAAACTAGAGGAAAGTGTTAGTAGTTCTTCTTTGTGGGGAGAAGGGATAAATCTATCTATACAAGAGCTATATGTAGGGAAAGGAACAGGGGCAGTACATTTAAGATATGGGGCTGAGAGGACACAACTGCACAAGTCAAAGCTAGTTCATTTAGAGCACTAATAGATAGCGCTGTAGAACTGGAACTGTCATAATAAATATTGTGAAAGGCTGCACAGTATACACGAAGGATACTGATATGGCAGTATGATTTATTTATAGAGGGTGCATTTTGATTGTGCAGGGAACAGCGGGGACATGGGATCAATTTGGTACTATAATCGGTTGCTTTTTCAAAATTATAATGTCTAAGGTGCAAGGTATTTTGGTCAGCATGGGTGATGCGTCCAATGACAAAACTGTTGAGATTGAATATCCAACCTACAGCGTATGATCTATAACCAGGGGTGAGATGTTGTTGCTTTAGTATGTAGCTATACATTAGGTTGTACAAGAATATTCTGGTGATGAATCGATCTGGTGATGGTTGTAAGAACTGTTCCATGATAGTAAACCATTTGGGGGTTCTGACAAACCTTGTTTGTTGGTGCGTAATGTGAATGAGGTCTTTGTAAGAGAACATGTAATTACCAGCACAATTGACTAGCTATTCAACATAAAGAACTGAGCATTTTCTGAGGTCCTGGACGTGATTTCTATAAATAGGCGTGATGAGGTCTGAAATCGGAGTGGTACCTCTGAATACCAGATTATTTGAGCTTAACAGAACGCTAAGTTTGATGTTCAGTTTGTTAAGGATACTAAGCAGAGCCAGGAGCCAGTCATCTTTAGACCTCTGGGTATTGTATAGCTAACATATTAGAGAATTGATGTATAACCATTCCCAGGTTTGCAGTTGTCTGACACGAATTTTGAATGTGAGGCCTAACAAGTTGGGTTCATTGGCCATCTGCAGAATAGCACTGCTAAGATTTTGAATAAGTCTTTGGTGTAAAGGGTAATGTTGTAAAAATAGTGTGACAGAAAAAGCGAGAATAGCATTTTTCGTGAAAGGTGCAATTTAAAGCAGAGGAAGGCTACATATGAGGTCATGATTCTAATACAGTGTTTTTCCGAAGGGAGTGTAAGTTGCAACTTATATTCTATGTGTGGTAGGATAACCATATTAAATATGTATGTAAGTTGAGCGTCCGTTAATTTTTTTTTTCACATTATGGTGATTGCAGATTTAATTTCTTCATGAATCTGGTTGGTGATAAACGTTCTGTTGTCTGCCAGCGAAATCCAGACTCCGAGATACCTGACACTTTCACTGGGTTTACGTGCGGTGATGCGATGAATGACATTGGAATTGGCAATGGTGAAGGGCTCGAGCTGAGTCTTATTCACCAGAGTTCTGACTTGGGCCAATTAACCTGAATGTTGTTAAAGGA